TTGTCATTCACGTCAGAGATCTGTAAGGTGAGAGTGACGCTGCTGGAGAGGGAGGGCACTCCCTCATCAGAGCAGCTCACTGTGATATTATACTCTGATGCTGTCTCTCGGTCTAATTCACTGTCTGTCACTAAACTATAGAAATTATTTGTTGACGTTTTTAAAGTGAAAGGCATATTTTCGTTAATAAAACATTTCACGTTTCCGTTTTCTCCAGAGTCTTTGTCTTCGATGTTTATCATTGTAACGACTGTATTAAGTTTTGCATCCTCTGAAATCATACTTGATTTCGACAATATATTAATTTCTGGTTTGTTGTCATTTACATCTTGTATGTCGACGATTACTTTACAAGAATCGGTGAGTCCTCCTTCGTCACTAGCAAGTAAATTAATTTCATAGCTTCGGGACTCTTCAAAATCAATATTTCCAATTAGACTAATTTCACCATTTTCAAGATTGACCAGAAATACTTTTCTAACATCATCTAATGTATTTGTGATTGAATATGAAATTTTGCCATAAGAGCCTTGATCTGCATCTGTAGCTGTAACAGTGGCTACAACTGTTCCTTTAGGTGAATTCTCAGTAACTGTAGCTTTGTATGTGGACTGTGTAAAAACAGGGGCGTTATCATTTGCGTCTAAAACTGTAAGAACGATCATCATTGTTCCTGACATCTGCGGCTCTCCTCCATCTACAGCCGTTAACACGAGAGATATCTGCTCCTGTTTCTCTCTGTCTAAAGGTTTCTGTAGAACCATCTCGATGTTTTTATTTCCATCAGCGTTATTATGAACCTTCAGAGCAAAATTATCTGTTGGTTTTAACTCGTAATTTTTTAGATCGTTGATACCTACATCGAGATCCACAGCCCTTTCGAGCACAAATTTCGCCCCCGTGATCGCTGACTCGCTGATTTTAAATTTCATCTCATTCTTTTCAAAAGTTGGTGCATTATCATTGATATCAGTAATCTGGACTGTGACAGTGTAGAGTTCCATAGGATTCTCTAAAATAATCTGAAAATGTAAAGCGCACGGCGTCGTCTGTCTGCAGAGCGCCTCTCTGTCGATTCTCTCTTTGACGAGGAGGACTCCTCTTTCTCTGTTCAGCTCGATGTACTCGTCGCTGCCTCGGGTATAAATTCGAGCTTTACCAGATGTCAGACGTTTGGTTTGTAAACCTAAATCATGCGCTATATTACCCACTAAAGATCCCTTGGGCATTTCCTCAGGAATAGTGTAGCTGACCTGCCCGAGCACCATCCCGACGGAGAGGAGACACATTAACAACAGTACGTGCCTCGTCATTGTTCTTTCCGAAATGCTTCCAAAAGGTCCAGTGTGCTTATATTCCATAAAACTGATATCGAATCCAGCATGAAACGTTAATTCAGCGCAAATATAATCCAAACAAGAGAAWGAAGAGTGAAAGATCGATTCGTTTATCAAATATTCTCCATGAGCCGTTTGTCCCTTCTTTTCAGTCTCGCTCTTTCTTTATTATGTCGATGTTACATGGGAGGTGCTGTAACAACCCTACTGTCAGCMTTCGACGCTGTGGTGAACAGCGGCCCTAAGAGTTCACATTGTAAAACTGCAGAACTCCAACATGAACTACTCTCTGTCGTTCAGTATAAATATATGAATGTGAAAAAAACTCATTATGGATACAAACTCGATAAAAAATAACATTCCCACACCTCTGCAGATAAAACTCAAAGCAACAATTTACTGGGTTTTTAAGTCACAAAAACTGTGGAATGTATTATTTGCATATTGTCTCATGTACCAAACCATTTGCCACTTCTACAAGTTATACTGTTAAAATGTTATGAGATCCCTGTTTGCATTGTGTTAAGTTAAAAGGAGTGATCAGAAGTATATGACGGACAAAAGGTGCGTAAAAAAAGCACGTTTAGAAATGTAATATTTAGTGAGGATTCAGACGCTATCCATGGTTCTGAAAATACTGGAATACCAAGCAAAAGTTAACTATCAAGGATCCTCAAAGAGACATTAAAGCACAAATACGAAAAACTATGTAACTAACCTCAAGAGGAGAGTCTGGTTCATCCAGGATGCTCTTTTCACTCTGTATCCGCTGCATCGTCCCTGTAGAACTGGGGTCCATGATCAGCACGTTCTGACT